AAGAATAACCCCCCCAAAATCCATGCACAGAAAGTGAGTAGAAAAAATTAGTCAAAAAACTTGGTGATACAATACGTATCGATATCGCGATACAATTACAATATATTGCGATACTAAAGGCACGGCGATGTATTGAATTTTTTTAAAAAAACAATTTATTTGTAGGAAAACTGTTGTCATAGTAAACTTCAGGTTAGTAAAACTCATTTGAGAAAATAAATATATTTTAAATGAAAATATATTTGTAATACAAAATAAAAAGTCTCATTTAAAAAAAAATTAAAAAGTTAGCTAAATGACTATCTATGTTTTTTGCTGTATCACCTGGTGGTGAGAGCGCTGCATTAGTCCCCATGACATCGACATTATTTTTTTTTTAACACACTGATTTCCCAAAGCCCAGAGCTGAGTCTGTGCTTCTTAATGCGTCACTGAAACACTTTAATGTATTAATAAGCATGTAATTATAAACAGATAAGCCACACTCTTCATTAGACGCCATTATATGTGAGGGTCATATTTTAATTTTATTGTCCTGCAGAGAGATGATACATCTCCATTCCCCTCCTGCCCCCTCCCTCCCTCCCCCCCTCACTCCCTCCTCCTCTGGCAGCCTGGATTCTCCTCTCTGCAGAACATCCCTCTCATTTACTGCACTCCGATACTGGTTGCGTCAAGACGTCACGTGCTCCTCTCAAACAGCAACCTTGCAGTAAAATGCTGCACCAGTGGATCAGCTGGTGTCCTGGTCTGACTTCAGAAGGAGGAGTGCACTTTGTAATGTATGCATTAGTGCAGTAACTTCTTTTTTTGTGTGTTTTGAAAATCTTCTTTGCACCGGAAAAGATAGAAAAATGAACATCGCTAAAAAAAATACAGTGGAACCTCGAGATACGAGGATAATCCGTTTCAGGACCGAGCTTGAGTCATGTTTTCACATAAGAAGTAACAGAAAAAAATGAAATTTTGTGGATGTACTGCGATCATACATGTGTACTAGATCACTCATGCGGTCACTACGCTCATATTTGTTGACCCTCTACCGTCCTTACAGCTCACTTTCTTAGGACTCATCACCGAATAACGCACAAAATAGAGAGAAAATCACGTAGATAATAGAAGCGATGCTTAGGGAAGTCATTGAACACGTAAAGTGAACGAGTGAGATAAAGATAAGTCCAGATAAATCAGAGTGCTCGGCCACCTAGCGTCAGTGTCTGTTAGCGTGCTCGTATCTCAAATTATTACTCGTATCTCGAGGTTCCACCGTATGTCTGGAGGAAACCTGTTCCCTCCCCGAGACAGGAGGAAGTTCTACAGTATTTTTTAAATAAAAGCCCAGCACGTTTTTTTTTTTGGCTTGTTTGAAAGCGACAAGCTGTTGTCAAGCGGCGACATTAAAGGTTTAACTTGCCCTCTTGTAATTAGGGCAGTTGTGTCTTTGTAGTTGTTGCCAGGCAAATCCCCCGCATGATCCTGAAGTGCTCGGCTTTCCCTGAGTCCCGGCTGGATGTGTCTCTTATTTTCCTTCACAAACGAACGGCCGACAATCTCTAATCAGCTCTGATTAAGTCTGTTGAAAAGCTCTGCTTCAGAGTCTCGGTTCAAAGCGTTGGTGAAACGGTTAACCTGTCATAACTGCTGAGTTCTCCCAATAAATCAGTGACGTTAACGATTCCATGAAAGAGTCTCACATGTTTACGCTCAGTAACTCGACGCTCGCGGCGCGGGAACATTTTACAAAAATCGTAAAAACCCAGAGCAGCGCAGCCAGAACTGGGTCAGTCAATTTCAAAAGGATGTCAAACCAACGACCGTCTGTTAGGAAGTGGAACACGGTCCAAATAATATTTATTTGGAAATCCTACAGATGGTGAAATGACTTGTATATATTTTTAGCGAAGGTAACAAAACAAATGACCAGTTTCGGAGCTGTTGGTTATCCATTTTGCCGAAGAAGAAGAAGAATTTGTGTCGATTATTTTGTTGATGTTGTGCTCACAGAAAAACAATCATTCAGGCCGTTTTCTAGACCTTTACGGCACCCAGCGCCCCCAAATGGATCATAGCGGGGTCTCTTAACATCGAATAAACCAGAGTGAGTAAAAGAGCTGGGAATTCTCAGGGAATAAATCTTCAGTCGCTCATGGTTTCTTGCAGGGAAGGGCTCACACTGCTTCGCTCTGCGTGTGACCTATTTTTCAATCTCAGAGCTGGTGTTTTTTAAAAAAGTCCCTTATTTTGTAAAATGTTTTCTTTTCTTTCTTTTTTTTTGACGTGTATGGCAGGATTGCTATTTTCTGGAACAGGGGGTAAAAAACAAACAAAACAAAAACATTTCAAACAACAGATGCATGTTTGCAAAAGCCAGACACGTCTGACAGGAGCGGCGCAGTAAAGTGGGCGTCCGTCCCTGAGCTCTTGGTTCGGAGCAACTGCTAATCACTGGGCTGCAAGCCCACAGTGCTTTGAGGCAAGGGAAGGCCCCTGGAGGAG